TGCAAAGCAGATGTTCTACTATATTTTCCAGATGCTAGCTGTAAGCACAATTAATTAAAGACAGTGCTTACATATCATTTTAGTGCATTTCAGTACATGGTTAAAACTATGTTAGAGAAAAAGGAAAATGAACAAAAGCCAGGACTGCTTAACTGCAAAGCAAGTTGCCAAGAAAGATCAAGTTCACATATGTTATGCCATTGATAGGCAGAACTAAAAAGCAACTGTAACCAAACTATGAAGCGCTTTCTTGGTGCATTGTGACAGCACTAAGAAAGATAAAATGCTAGTTTCATTTGCAGTTTTGCATACTACATGCCTATGCGAAGATTTCCTCTCAGTAATAAGCTGGTCTAGAAATTTCTGGACAACCTAAGAGGTCAATTAACACTTTAGGAATAGAAAACCTCATAAAATAGATTGAATTATTTTTATCCAATCTGCCAAAGAAGACACTTTCTACATTCAAATAACATGATGTTCATTTTGCTCTTTCAATATCTTGAAGGTTTTCTTTGATTGAGCACTATCTTGTCTTTTGTGTGATCTGTAAATCATCTCTCTTCAATATTTAATTTAACGCAATGAACACTGAGTTCCCAGTAGATTTAAAGACCTATACTGAGGGAGACAGGGATAAAGTCAGCTAGAATTCCTTGCTCAGAGATACAAGTCCTCATTCAGAAAATGACAAGGAGTAGGCGCACAGGAACACATTTTACCTAGCAACACCAGAGAAGTGAGTGCTTTATTTAATAAGGCTTTCTTATCTAACATGTTTTGCTTGGCTGTGATACTAGTTGCTCAGTAGGTACAATTGGGAGAGTACTAAATTCAACACCTTGTGGCTGCTGCTGTGGCACAGTGGGTTAAAGCCCTGGCCTACAGTGCCAGCATCCCATATGGGTGCCAGGTTGCATCCTGGCTGCTCCACGTCTTATCCAGCTCTCTGCTGTGGCCTGGGAAAGCAGTAGAAGATGGCCCAAGTCCTTGGGCCCTTGCACCTGAGTGGGAGACCCAGAAGAAGCTCCTGGCTCCTGGTTTCAGATCAGCTCAGCTCTGGCCATTGCAGCCATCTGGGGGAGTGAACCAGCAGATGGAAGAGCTCTCTCTCTCTCTCTGTAACTCTGTATTTCTTATAAATAAATCTTTTTTAATAAATAAATAAATTCAACACCTTCTCTTTGAACAAAAATAAGATCAGGAGGTTCTATCAGTGCACACACCCTAGGGTGCTGTGGGCTCTGCAAAGCACTGTGCAAAAACTAATTAGCATTGATATGTAGTCCTCTGATGATAAAGAACTGCCTCTGTGGCAATCTGGTAAACATTTCTGTGGCAAGATTACAGTTTAAAAGTGTGGAAGTATCTTTTAGGGTCGGGAAAATGAGCCCCAAGGGTTGGTTTTAACCCCACTATAAAACAAACCATTGCTCTAACCCATGAACACTCATCATTATCAGGTTTTCTCTACTTCATTTGTTCATTTTATTTGTTTATTGTCTTTGTTTCTCCCCTACTCCTAAAAGGTGAACTCTAGGAGGGACCTGCTCCATCTCTAGTTCTGGACACACATCAGACACTGAGGAGAGCATAGAATAAGTTTGCTGAATGAATTGAGTCACAAAAACTGGAGTGCTACCACTAGAAATACCACCTTACCACATGGAACACTAAAATAGGATGACTTCTTGTTTGATTTTATTGTTTGTCCTTTTTCTATACTATTTCCTCCAATCTTACAAAATTTACAGACATTTATCTGTTGAGAGTTTGCAGCTGAACTATGAGTAATAAGATAACATTCAGAAAACTCTGAATTTCTATCATAAACGATTGTATGTAAATAAAAGAGGACATGTACAATTGGCAAAATATGCACTTTGTATTCACGGAATAAATCACACATTTACTGGGTTTCTACAGGGAGCCAGACACTTCCATAGAAGTCACTGATGTGTCGGGGCACCGGATTCTGTCCCGGTTGCCCCTCTTCCAGGCCAGCCCTCTGCTGTGGCCAGGGAGTGCAGTGGAGGATGGCCCAAGTGCTTGGGCCCTGCACCCCATGGGAGACCAGGATAAGTACCTGGCTCCTGCCATCGGATCAGCGCGGTGCGCCGGCCACATCGGCCATTGGAGGATGAACCAACAGCAAAGGAAGACCTTTCTCTCTGTCTCTCTCTCTCACTGTCCACTCTGCCTGTCAAAAATAAATAAATAAATAAATAAAAAAGAAGTCACTGATGTTAATCCTCATCAGCTCCTATAGGTGGACAGGATGATGTGGGATTTACCACCTAGGAACGAAGCTCGTATTGGCTGAGCTTCTTAAGGAGCTGGGATTTGAACCTAGTCTAATCCAATATTTTGTCGTAACTTCTGGGTTTTTTAATGTTTATGTTTCCATCCTAGCACATAGTTCAATGCTGCATTATTTTTCTATCTGGCCAGGGAATGTGCCCTGGTAAAGGGCAAGCCTTCTTCCTAGAAGTATCTACTACTTGCTGGAAGCAGCAAAGCCTGATCCTTAGCAACTTAAGTTCTGGGAATAGACTCTTTGCAACTGGCACTGGCACTCCTGGTAAGAATTGCTTCAGAGTTAACATCTTTATGCCTCAGCCGCCTCACCTATAAAACAAGGATAACAAATCATAAATGATAACCAGTGTTAATAGGAATAGATCATTAGTTATTTGTTAGCCACTGTTCTAGTTCTTGACTTTTTTTAAAGATTTATTTATTTGAGTGTTACAGAGAGGGAGAGAGAGAGAGAGAAATCTTCCATCCTCTGATTCACTCCCCAAATGGCCACAACAGCCGGAGCTGTGCTGATCTGTAGCCAGGAGCCAGGAGCTTCCTCCAGGTCTTCCACAAGGGTGCAGAGGCCCAAGGACTTGGGCCTTTTTCTGCTGCTTTCCCAGGCCATAGCTGAGAGCTGGAGTGGAAGTGGAGAAGCTGGGACTTGAACTGGTGCCTATATGGGATGCCAACACTGCAGGCGGCTTTACCTGCTACACCACAGCACTGGCCCCTACTTCTTGACTTTTTTTTAAAGATTTATTTATTTATTTATTTATTTATTTTAAAGGTAGAGTTACAAAGAGGCAGAGAGAGAGAAAGAGAAAGAGAGAGAGAGAGAGGTCTTCCATCGCTGGTTCACTCCCCAAATGGCCACAATGGCTGGAGCTGAGATGATCCCAAGCCAGGAGCCAATAACTTCCTCCAGGTCTCCTCTGTGGGAACAGGGGCCCAAGGACTTGGGCCATCTTCCACTGCTTTCCCATGCCATAGCAGAGAGTTGGATCAGATGTGGAGCAGCCAGGACTCAACCTGGTCCCCATATGGGATGCTGACACTGAAGGTGGCAACTTTACCCGCTAAGGCACAGCACCGGCCCCACTTCTTGACTTTTAGAAGAGTTGAAAACATGTCCCCAAGGCTTCCATCCCAAGTGAAAAATCAATTTTTGCAGAACTTCCTTAAAAAAGCAAGACTGAGTCTACTTCATATATATCTGTGGAAAATGGAAAAGGAGAAAAGATTTTAATATGGGTTTTCATACAAATTTTTCAAACTCTTTCCTGTTCTGTAAACTTTCATAGGTTATGAAGACAAACCTATTAGCATTGATGTCAAGATATCTAAACTATCTCACTTCATTCTCTCTCTTATCTCTATATCACTCTGGAATTTATCGTGAGATTTTTAAAAAACGAGATCTTTGTTGAAATATATTTTACAAATCCCATGATTCACTCATATACAATGTAGAAATCAATAGTTCTTGGCATATTCACCATGTTATTTAACCATCACCACAATTTTAGAATATTTATACCACCACCCACATACAGCCTCCAAACCATATCCTTTTTCCTCAACTTCTCCAACCCTGGGCAACCACCAATTTACTTCCTGTCTCTTGGAGACTTTTTAAATGATTCAAAGGTTAAATCAGTGAATGAATTTAAATTTCATAGCCAGAGTATGTAAAAAATTTATAATGAAAATTTGCATCATTTCTTACTCAGAAATAAAAATGTTAATGATACGTAAGGAAAAAAATGGTTTTTATTTGTTAAAGGCAGAGACATAGAGAGACAGACAAAGAGAGATACAAAGATCTCCCATCTACTTGTTCACTACCAAATACCTCCAACAGCAAGGACTAGCCCAGGCCAACACAAGGAGCTAGGAACTCAATTTGGTGGCAGGGTCCCAAGTACTTAAGCCATCACCTGCTACCTCTCATGGTGCACATTAGCAAGAAGTTGGAATCACGAACAGAGCCAAGACTTGAACCCAGGCATTCTGATGTGGAATGGGGCATCCCAAGCATCTTGATCACTATATAAGGGCTCCCTCCAGAAATCCATGTTACAATCAACACACATATATATGTACCATCTACTGTGGTACAGAAAATAGGAGCGAGAGTAAGATGCTACCTCGTCACAATGAACTTGAGAAAAATGGGACATGGATCATCAAGAAATGTCTGGCAAGGTTCTCTGATCACTCAAAGAAAAGGCATCTGTGATGACTAGCAGACAAGGAAAAGAAATTGAAATCATGCCATCAGGGACTGATAAAGTTAAGAGGGGCAGAAATTATCATTTTCAACTACAAGTCAGGCTTGAACTTTCTTTATAGTGCAAATTGTGCACTATGTAGCGCAAAAACCCTGAGTTTTCGATTTACAAAACACATATGTGAATATTAAGTGGATCCATCCTCTAAGTTCTCTTAAAACATTCTGGGGAATACATTCTGTAAAGTAAGAGATATGAGAACAGCTTGTTTTTCTTACAAAATTTCTAATTTTGTTATGTGGAGCAGATTATTTCTGAGATCAAGAAAAGTAAATATGGAAAAACTTCAGGAAAAAAAAAAACAAGATAACAAAGAGACAGGTGGGCTCTTTAGAGATGGTCATTGTGTGATGACTGGGGGATTTCCTGATTGAAACCTGTTCTGTGTAAATCCATTTCCTTCGCCAGATCCTGAATTTCACTAGAGTCTTCAAGGGGATCCATTAAACACAACTTCTCTTCCCTGCCTGGATTCTGGATGACCTGAAAAGTAAGGTGAGAATAAGGTTGATATAAGTTAAAATATTACCTTTATATTGAGAGAGCTGGGTTGGAAAATACGGCTGACACCTGCAGACCAATGAGATACTAACATCACAGTCAAAATCCCCAAAGGGATACTAACAGCACAATCAGAATCCCCAAATGCCTGGAAGGAGCCTGTCCCAAGAGAAGCCGCTGAGGAGTTAGGCTCCCTGCCTGCAGCTAGCGCCCTTCATGGGCCACACCTGCTGCTATGATTGGAATTGTAAATGGCTCCTAAACTCATGCAGACATTTAAAGCACAAGTCACAAGGTGATAGTACAAGGAGGGTGGAAGTGATCCAGCTATGGTGTTTAGGAGGTGGGCCTTTGGTTGCTGCAGGCATGCTCTTGGGAGGTAGTTCTCGCTAGAGGTTTGGTTATAAAAGCCTGAGAGTTAGGCCCAGCTGCTCTTTCTGCTTCTTAGCTCGCCAGGTGATCCTTTCTCTGCACATTTTGTGCCATCCGCTGCCCTCACCAGATGCCAGAGCAATGGAGCTTGGATTGTGAACCTCCAAAACTGTAAGCTGGAAAACCTTTCCCTTTTATGAAATTAGTTTCTAAGGGTGTATCATTGCAGTAATGAAAAGCTAACTCATACACATGCCCAGTTCTGGGTAGATCAACCTACCTGCCAAGTGGCAGTGACTTGGAGTCACCTGGAGGGATTTTAAAACACACATCGCTGGGCGCCACCTGCAGTGTTACTGATTTGCATTTCTAATAAGTGCCCAGGTGATACTGGTGCTGCTGGTCTGGGGATATTTATACTTTAAGAACCCCCCATCCCATTAGGGCAGGAAAGGCGCATCTCCTACAACCTCCACAATAGTCATTGGTCATGTTCTATTCTCCTCCCTTTCATGATAGGCATAGTGGTGGTGGACAGTGGTAATAAATCATTTGCTGGATTGAATTGAATAGTAATATACTGCTGCTTTCTGTTGTAATTAACATAGGAAAGCTTTATGGAAAAATTTGAAAACATCACTCTTGAACTCTCATCCGGTTTGAAAACTAATTTTTGTATCATCTTCATTTAAAGTTCTTGATTCTAAAACTGAACTGGTTTGCCACTTCCTGGGAGAAGACTGAATGTACATTAGGTGTAACTTGAGGCTACGATGTTACAAAACTGCCTATTTCTATACAATTTGCCACTGAAAGTACCGGAAGTTCTTCCCAAAAGGGCATTTGCATCCTGTAGTTTTGAAAGGGGATCTAGTACCTTGAATAACTGGGAAAATTGAAACCAAGATTGTGTCTTTTCTGCTGACTCTCACTAAACATTATGTGATTTACTTGTCTTTGTGTATCTGCCAACTCCAATTTATGCTCCCTCACACTCAAGAAAAATCCCTCATCCAACATTCTAAATTATATGCAGATTTTTCACAGATACAGAAAGAAATTTCATTCTCTGTTTTGCTACATTTTTTAAAAAAGCCAGTTAGACCACATTAATTTCAAGATGATCCAGCTAATAAAACTTCACAAATTTCAGATCCTCATTAATTTAAAGTAAATGAGCACTGTGTACGGTGAAAATTGTTGTAATGGAAACATGAATCCAGAACTCAGAAATGAAATGATAAATGCATAGGATTTATAGTGACGGAAGCTTACTTGAAAGAATTCAATAATCATGTCAAGTCTGGATACATTGAATTCCATGAGCCACTCTTTGACTGCCCTCTAGTGGCTAAATTTCAGCGTGCTGATCACTGTAGAGTACTTGATTTTTATGAATTACTCTGGGCAGCGAGATTTATATAGGTTTGTAGGATTTGAAGAAGACTGTGTGATCCTTATTGCCTATTTCTCTATACAACCAAAGATAATTTATTTTAAGCCTGCTGAGACATATCTTGATTTTTAATTTGCAATGGTCACTTGGTCAAAAGGGCCTTCAATAATGATAAAAACAGTGTCCTCAGGGATGAGCACAAAAAGGAGTTTGCTGTCTTGTATCTTCAGTGACAAAGCCTTCCCATTATTTAGTCAGACATGATGCGATGAATATAGGGGCTGTCACAGGTTGTAATGTTGAATTTTTAAGCTTTTCATGTTATCTTATGATAAAAGCCAAGCATAGACTTATGGAAATATTTTTATCAGAAACTGATATGATGTATGTAAAGCTGCAAGCATATTCTCGGGAAAAAAAAAGGTTTGTTAAATACCTAAGCTGGACAGAATGAGGCGGGACAGTTGATGGAGTTAAATTTAGATCATTAATATGGGTTTAGTATTTAAAGATCTGTAGGTCTCCTCCCCCCAGTCAGGAGGAATCAACACTCCCTCCACCTCCCCAAATCCAACTGTCTTCTGAATCGCCCACCATAATCCATTTAATGAGTTCAGGCTTTCGTTACAGCCCAAGATAAGCAAAGGATTAGCTACATCAATAATTTATTCTCCTATATTTTCAAAATCAAGAAGAATGGACTGAAATGAGAAAGATACAAGACTGAGAAACTAGAAGAAGATTTAGATAAAGGGCATCTTTTTTCTGGCCTGAACGCTTTATTCTCTGGGTCGTAATTCATTGGTTAGCTTCTTTATTTTGCTGCCACCTGCTGGTACACAGAGATTCCTAGTGTACTAAGCCAGTGCAAGAGAAAACTAATTCGTTGCAGCCTGTGCAAATCTGTAAGTTTTGAGGATAAGTCCCTTGAGGGAATCATAGTCTTAAAAGGTTAACAACAGAATCTGATTACTTTAAATACAGATAAAAGTGTAGTATACAGGGGGTGAGATCTATAGAAAAAGAAATGAGTCAAGAAAGTGGATCCAGTGCAATACCATCAGTAGGCTGGAGCCAAAATGTCACTGACAGCAGGGAGGTTTCATAAATGCCTGTGGGTACAGTATTTCAATATCTGTTACAAAGCCTTTCCAGTTCCTGTAGTTATTTGTACAGTGACAGAGCTAAAGGCATTGCAGAATGTGAGGAGGTCTCCAGAAAGTCATGAAAAGATATATTGTGAAAAAGCTATGCAAAATTTTGTATACTGCAAGAAACCGCTTTTAATTCAATTGTCCATGAACTTTTGAAGTATCTCATATATTTGAGCTACTAAATGCATGTTCTGCTAAACACTTGCTCATCCCTTGCCTATTTTGCTGCCTATTTAAAACAACATCATCCAGAGTTGATGGAATCTCGTGTTTAAATAAAATAGATGGACAACGGAAGCAGTGCAATATCACTCTTAAATGCCACTAGAGAACTAGCAAATGCATAGAAATCCGAAAATGAACATACTTCATGCTATACCCTTAGTGTACAAGGATTTGGCTTGATGTCAATCAATGTATATTTTGGGGTTAATTTGCTGAGAAGTTTTCATCCAAAATCAAAACAAAGTATCCTATCCAGAAGTATGTTGTATATGTTTTAGTCCATATATAAAGTAAAAACCAGACTATAAAAAGATTTCTCAGGATCCTGGATTCAGCAACAGTTAAAATATCTACTGCCGGGCTGCATTATGGAACGCCAGCTTCCCAGGAGCGTCATCAGTCACTCTTGAGAGGTTTTAGTTCCACAGAAGGAATCTCCTGCTACTGAAGACATTGCAGCTTATGTTGCAGGCTTGGGCAACTGTCTCAACATAACAAATTGAGAGACTGCCGGGGTCATGATGGAGTTGTGGCTGTAGAGTTCACTCAACACTGCTCGTTGAGTAAACAACACGTGGTATTGGGATAAAATGGCCAGAGGACTTTGTGTTGACAATGGTTTTACTGACTTAATTGGCCTATACAAAATGAGGATTTGATGGTTAACATAATTTAACTGCAGTTTACATAGCCAACCAGTGGGCAGATGGGCAGTCTGGCCAGGCCTTAGAAACAGCTAAACCAAGGCTTTGGGTGCTTCCAGTGTTCATCAGTTGTGCTTTTTAATTCATGATCGCTTTATCCCTAGAAAAGAGCAGAAAGTCTTCCTTTACCAAGGAGGTGTTATGGCATCCAACAGCTTTCTAACTTCCATCTTCCATGTCCTGCCACTTATAGTTGCTAGGAAAAGGCATTGATTGGCTTGAATCAGGGGGTGTACACATGAACCAGTCAAGGCCAGAGGTAACATGGGATAACTGTTGCAAGCAAGAACTCTGAATCCTAGCTCCCCGATCACGTATCTGTTTCCTCATCTGCTAAGTAGAAATACAACGACTGATCCAGAAGTTTAAGAATTGAAGGAGATATTTATAAGCATTTAAGGCTATGCTAAGTACCCATCAATGGATGAATAAAGAAAATATGGTATGTTACTAGTACATACAATGGAGTAATGTTTAGCCTAAAAAAGAAGAAAATACTACCATTTGTGATGACACAGATGAATCTGGAGGGCAGTGTGCTAAGTGAAATAAGCCAGACACAGAAAGCCAAATACAAGGGTAGCTCAAAATGTTTGTAGAAAAATGAAATAAAAAGATAAATTTATTTTTGGTGCAAAAAATGTTTTAAATCTGTGCACAGTGTCTTCACAGGACACATTTCCATGATCTTTCTGAAGACCCCTGGCACTGTGATTGCACATATACAGGGTCAAATTCCTAGCAGAGAGTAGAATGGTGGTCTGGTAGGGAGGGGAAAATGGGAGTTGTAAGTTTCATTTACACCAGGTGAGTATGTTTTGAGATCTTCTGTACAACATGTTTCCTATGGTGACCAACATGGTAGTATGCATTGAATAATTTGTTAGGGCAGTAGATCTCATGTTAAATGTGCATGTGTATGTGTGTGTGAAAGACAGAGTGAGCAATCAAGAGAATAAAGTAATACAAGAAAATTGGGGGTTGGTGATTTACCTTTGTTGTGGTGATATCAGTCAGGGATGTATTCATATTTCCAATCTTATCAAACTATATACATCAAGCACATGCAATTTTCTCATCAATTATATATCAGAAAAGCTGGTTTTTTTAATGCCTGATGCAGAACAAGTACTGTGTACATGGTTGTTATGCCACCAGAACAGCTGTCTTCAATCTTTAGGAGAACTTTAAAAAACGCATTTTACCTTGGTCTCATCCCCAGCTAATTGCTTTGGAGAATTAGCCCCAGAATGAGGCTTTTCAATGTGCTTCTCAGAAAATTTTCATATATGTCCAAAATTGAAAACCACTACACTAGTTTACAAATTTCATGGATGAAGTGATTTTCTTTATGTCCACTCTTCGATTTTTAATACCTAAAATCATTTCTGGCACCAAAAATGTACTTAAGATATTTGTTGAATAAAAGTAATGAGGCAGCTATAGGAGCTGTTATATCTATTCAAATGAGAACAGGTGTAAGGTGTGTGCATGCATATGTGTGCTCACTCATGCGTGCTGACTGGCCAGTAGCATTTGTGGGGATACGGTGAGAGTAAAAACGAGGGCCACCATAACATATTTGTCAATATTTATTAGAAATCAAGCTAATCAATGGCATAATAAACTATTTCTTATCTCTCTACATAAGCATAAACTTCTTCATGACATAGGGATCCAGATAAACATTGACAAT